AATCATAAAGCATTAAATTCATTTTCCCATCAAAGCCAGTAAATAAGGAAGGGAGGAAGGAAGGAAGGAAGGAAGGAAGGAAGGAAGGAAGGAAGGAAGGAAGGAAGGAAGGAAGGAAGGAAGGAGGCATGGGGGGATGAGTGAAGAGCATCAGACGTGCAGAGCGTCCAGCTGTGTCTCACCTCTGGATGATGCTGTTATCGTGCAGCTCTCCATCTGGGGTCTGCATGATGGCGTACTCCTCCCTGGTGACTTGGAGGAGAGCGGGCTGACGCAGACCTTCGATCACATGACTCATCACCCGCGGCAACAGCTTGTTTGGCGACAGGACGCTGAGCGCACCGACTGCGTTTTTCACCGCCTGTTAAAAAGAACCAAAGTCACAGAATATTTACACAAACCATCAAACAAGATTTAAATACTTTCTAATAGTGAAGAAATAAACAAAGATAAAACTGTCTTACTGATTTCTAACTGAACTGATATATAACATTCCATTCCTTGCCTGCTTTAAACAACAATGAAAATGTATTTGAATTATAAATGTAGACGTAAACAAGATAAATATATTTTAATTATTGAAACTGAACCTAATAATAACTTTAAAATATGAAAAAGCAAAGCTGAGCAGATAATCCATAACTGAAGTGTTTAAGGTCTAACAAAGAGTTATTTTTTATAAAACTGGAGGATAAAAGCTCCAAGGTCTGTAAATATTGACTTTAATTCAAAGCAATGGTTGACAAAAAAAATGTTTTTTTTCCATGTTTCTAACCCTGACTAGTTATCGTGAATAAAGGGAAAGTGTTGCTTAGTAATTTTGCTAAATTTGAAACACTAATAATAAAAAGAAGTGGTGGTTTAAAAAAGCCAGAGGTCACCAACCCAGCGTGATGCCTGCAGCCTGCAGGGCAACTCATGTGGTCACCAGGGGGCGCCCTTCTTCTAAGAATAACAACTTAAGCTGCGTCTGAAAGTTATATTTACTCTGATTCTCTCTTTATGAATCAAAATTGCATTTAAATTCATTTGAAAATGAAAACATCTATAAGAATTATTAAAAATATGTTAATATTCATTATGTTCAGATGAACACAGACTTGTTTAGTAGCGGTGGCCCATCGTTCGACCAGTACCATAAAGCAGCTGCTGCATAAAAGTCAGTGACCCTTTGGATCGATTTTTAACGAACAAAGAAAAGGTCAGCAGCTCCCAGGATCATCAATTTTCCACAGATCAACTCAATTTCAAACACGATAAAGAGCAATGCTCGTTTACAAACAGGGTTTGACTCATTTTCTGACTGTTAACAGCATTATTTCAAGATCTGAAACTTTGTTATTCCTTAGCAGCCTGGTGTCAATAATAAGATTCATACCTGGATTTACACTAATTAACCTGTTTTTAATTTAACAGTCGACTGACAGCAAAAACACAAATTGTTACTTTTATTTTTTTTTACAACTGGGTATAAATTCAGGCATTGAGGGGTTAATGATGCCTCATGCTGGACGGTAGGACTGGGCAATTAACTGCATTTGCAATATAATCACAATTTAGAAAAATGCCCTTTTTAAATACAAGAGTAATATACTAAATTTCTCCCTCCAGCCCTTTAGGTGGCGGTATTACAATTAAAGTGGATATGCTGGGTGTGCTTCAGTGTCTCGGTGGTTAGCGTGCACCATCCATTTAAGTTATATTATATGTATAACTTATATATACCCAGCTATTGTAGCATCTAGGCTAGCGCTGTCAGTCTGCTGAAGAATCTGGTTGTTATTCCAAATTGTAAAGGTTAAGCTGCTTTTTGCAAAATCACCTATCATAATGACTAAACTGTGACTAATAATAGTTTTCGTCCTTAAAACTAAAATAAGACTAAATCTAAGATGGCTGTCAAAAACAACACTGGTCTTCAACCAACCTCCACCCACCTAACCTTAAAGAGGATTGCTGCGGTCTTAACTGGTCTTCTTGCTTAACTGATCTCTGTATTCATCCTCACACTAACCTTCCTCTCAGTTATACCTGCGCTGGTTACATTTCATATTTAAATACTATCGGTGGTTTCTGTCATTAAAATGTCAAAGTGGTGATATTAACCTCTTGACACTCATCATTGCAAATTGACGCTGCAATTGATGTGGATGTCAAGGCATTAGAAATGCTCCAGCAGGGCCGGGGTGGAAAATAAAAGACCTTTTCAACCATCAACACATCAGCTGCAGGTTAAAGCTTCTCCCTTTCATTTTTAAATTGGGTGTTCATTCTACGAAGAAGACCTTCTTTCCTTTTAGTTTTAAACATGAACAGATTATTTTTTGTTGTGGAGGCAAATAAAAACCCATCAACTAATGTCTGGTTAAAAAGAGGAGGAGGAGCAGATGTCATCAGACCTGGCTGTCAGCATTGACCTCCAGCAGCTGTGGCAGGATGGCCTCCAGGTTCTTCTCGATGAGCTCCTCAGCTCGAATCTTCATGGAGGAGAGCAGGAGGGGCCACAGGCCGGGACGAACACCGACTGAAAGACATTCACACCAGAACGCCGTCAATGAAACCCTACAGATGTTGGTGATGCTATAACTCTGAGAGCGGCGCCTTCCGTACCGATGGAGGGATGATGGGTGACAATCAGAGTCTCCATTGCTACATTCTCCGCCTCAGCCGGATCCCCCCACTGGCTGGCAGCCGAGCAAACGACACACAGGGCGTCCAGCAGGACGCGAGGTGGGATGTAGCTGCGACCGAGCTCCGTCAGCTCTCCTGACTCCGACAGCAGGACGTCCTGCGCCAGAACCTGAGGCGTAAACACAGCACAGCCACTCAAGGCCTGGAAAAGATGGCTGGATATCTTCTCTAAGTGGGCGAACAGAGGAAGGAGTTACTGACTTTATGTTTGTTGATGACGACCCGCAGCTCTCCTAGCAGGCCGTGAGCGAGACTGGAGCCGCCCAGAGAGGAGAGCAGCTTCCTGACCGTCTGCCGGGCCTTCTTCCTCACACGCCAGCTCCGAGACAGCAGCACTGCAACGGCGGCCTGATGATACATCCTGCAGAGCAGAGGGAGCGTTATGTGAGTCGGCTTCATGCCTTCCTAACCCATGTTTCTAACCCTGAGATCAAAGGAAAACGCTTCATACTGGAAAAACGACCTAGAAATAAGTTAAAAGTTCTTAAATTAAGTGTATTTAACCTTAATTTGAGTAGATAAATGAGATCATTTGCCAATGGAATTAGATAAAAGACACTTGAAATAAGTCAATGCAATTGTGTTTTCTTATTTTAAGTGTAAATAGTCTTGTTCCATTGGCAAATGTCTCTTTTACCTCCTCAATTCAAGAACAAATTCACTTATTTTAAGAAAAAATGACTTATCTAGATTTTGATTTTTTCCAGCGAGGAACCTCCAAACTTCAGCATCAGCGAGGCGGATTAGCCGCCCACATCGACGAGCTAAACGGCTTTAGAAGAAAACATTCAAAGCAGGAAAAGATTCAGCATTTCAGCCAAAGTCGCAACAACTGAGGCAGAGATGCTGAATTCAAACACCTCCTCCTTCATTAATACGGCTTTTCCACTGAACGAAAAACCTGTTTAAAGGAAAAGTCCGGTCATATTCAGAATT